TTATGGCTCCACCAATTCAAATCACCATTTCACAAATCTCAAGACAAGGAGAAAGACAAAGAAAACTACTCAGATCTCATGGGGAAAACACAACAAAACTCAGAATTCATATATAAAAGCAAAGGCATACAACTACAACAATAAATAAACTTATCTCTAATTTCTCCCAAAGAAAACTCCTCGAAGTTCCTCTAAATCTCTTCCTTTCTTTACAGCACATAGAATTCCTCTTCGAAGCGGCAAGGAGGAAGAAATCTCTCACTTTCCCTCCACTCTTACAATCTCTCGAAGAATTCCTCGCAATTTAGACTCTCTACACTTTTTCACACTTCAACTTTGAGCCTCCCCCTCTTCAGGACCTTTCTAACACCCAGGACCTCTCTAATTTTAGGCCAAAATCTTCTTTTAAAGTTGTGGATGAGCTTTCTCAAGAGTTTCCTAAGCATCCCTTCAAAATTTGTCCTCATATAAAGCCTAGTTGGACATAACCGCCGAGCTCGCCGTCGGCAGCCTCGAGGGCGCCGTCGGCGGGCCTTCTTCTTCTTAATGAATTAATTCTGGAGACTTGGGAAAATCTCACCGTCGGCGAGGTCGATGGCGTCGTCGGCGCCCTAGTTCAATCCTTCACATTTTGGCCCTTTTCGCTCCAAATTCGTTTCTTTTTGCATCTTTTTGCTCCAATGACCCTTTTTCATCATTCCTGCAACAAAACATCAAAAATATCTTTTTTTAAAGTGCAATATCATCAAAAATAGTATAAAATAAGTATGAAAATCTTAACATATTTTCATCTGGTCATGCTACAAGACCAACAATCGGGGAAGATGATTGAGATGAGAACTAAAAGAGGAGAACTCTACTACCTTACTACTCCACAAAAGAGCAAGTGCAATGTTACTACTTCACCATCCCCAAATCTCTGACATAAACATCTAGGCCACCCATCGAATAAAGTTTCCAACTTGTTTCCTTTTCCAATTATAGACAAGAAAATTTGTTATGTTTTTTATTGTTTAATTTCCCCATTGGCTAAGCAAACTCATTCATCTTTTTAAATAAGTTCCATTGGCTCAAACACACCTTTTGAATTAATTCACGTTGACATTTGGGAAGGATACCAAGTTCCCTTAATCACAGAGCGCGGTATTTTCTCACAATTGTTGATGATTATACTCGATGCATATGGACTTATTTGATGAACCATAAATCAGATACGCATTCATACATCATCAAGTTCATAAATCTTGTTGAAACCCAATTCAGTCTAAAGGTCAAAATCATTCGAAGTGATAATAGTTTTGAATTCATATTGAGAAATCTTTATTTCGATAAAGGCACATTCATCACTCCAGTTGTGTCTCCACTCTGCAACAAAATGGCA